TACACACAGTTAGTGCACTGAATGTCACCAAGACTCGACAAACAAGTCTGGAGGACACATGCATACGCACTCAGTATCTCTCCCACACACACCATGAGGAAGAAAGTGCTGGCTCCACTTATAATTGTACCACAATCATAAATCTGTGCACTAATGGAGTTTTTCTTCCTCTGTGATTTTTTATGCGGGGTTGAGCAGATGTAAAGCAGTGCAGAGAGGAGGATCAGGGTGGGGAGGAGCAGGGGAAGTCTGCTGCGAAGATAAGGAAGAGGCACGAGGATGGGCAGGGGGAGGAGAAACGCTGGCGGGGTTGACCAGGGCGACACTGATCGAGAAGACGGAGAATTCCAAATAGAGACAGGTTTAGATTTGACAGCAAGGCAGGCGGGGAGGCGGATCCCAAATCCTCCTCAAGGCTTGACAGTTGAGCGCATCCCTTAGGAAAACAATTAATCTCAATTAATCGGTGCTAATCTACTTATTCTCAGAATTTTTTATTTATTTATTTTTCTCATACAAGCCTGGGAAATTCAATCAACTCCAGAGTCCAGACTTTTACAGTCTTGCGTGTGTTGGTGTGTGAGAACTGTATTGTTTATTGTGCAGACAGGATACGCTGTTTTCCCGGGAAAAGACGTAGCCAGGAAGTACAGCACTTCATAGGGAAGCACGCAGCAGACAGCGTGCAGACTTTGGTAACGCTGACAGCACGCCTGCGGGAAGTTAAAACCTTTGGCCTGATTATCTAGTGTAGTCAATAAAACAAGCCCTCCTGCCTTTGACACCACAACAACAAGTGGGAATATTGAACAGGAAGAAAATCTGCTTTTCGGGGGGGAACTCTTGTCAGTATGGTCACAGAGGTAAAGTCTTCTTACAGACGATTACAGACTGTAAAGATATGACGCGTCAACACACTTCAATGATCACTGAGCTTATGAGAGGCGATTACCATCCGTTTGACAATCTCTCAGTATTTTCCAGATTGAATTCACCAGACAGATTACAAGGGCAGATTAAGAGTGGGAGGGGACAGACGATGCGAGAAAGATGGACACGGGGGTTGGGGGGGTTTAGAGCGAAGGCTGGATTAGGAAGTGAAGTGGTAAATCTGAGTGTTTTTCGAGGAAAGTAGCTTCAGTTCAGATTACTTGGAAATTGCAGAAATCTCTTATCTATTGTGTCTACCTAATCATACCCACCGATCTGATGACCCAATCTCATCTTCCATCTCTCAAACATGTACGCGCGAACATGGGCGGAGGGAAAACAACCCAACTCCTACACATATACTTTTGTTTTTTCTTCATTTAAACCCCGGCCTTTCATGGTTTGAGTTCTCAGACTGGCTCTACTACTTCCACGGTTTCGGCAAGTCACTCAAGAGGGGAGAAGCATACATAGACAGACAAGTGAAAAGACCAGGAAGAAGGGGAAAAAAATTAAACAGGTTTGCTGGGAGGACTACAGTGGCCTTTCATAGGAAGGTAGAAGAAGGAAGCTTTAAGGGAAAGAGCTGAGGGGGAGAAAAAGCGTGAAGGAAAGGGCAAAGTGCCTTGTGACGGATCGCCATGGGTGCCAAGAACGATAAAAAAATTCCACACCTCTTAGCATGCTTCCCTCCTTCCCCCCTTCTCTGAGAGCCAGAGGAAATACAGGAAAATAATAGACTGAAAAGGGACAGCTTGTAAAGTTGAGATAAAAGCTGGTGAAGGAGCTAAGGGGACCGAAAAGACAGGAGGGGGAAGAATGAGAGTTTCACAGAGGCAGAGCCACGGCCGTGTGAAGAGGGGCTGGCCTGAGTGGCAGCCAGTATTCAGGGACCACCGCCGTGACAGAATGACTGACAGATTGATAGAGGCTGTGCCACTTCATCACATGGGGAACTCTGACCCCCAATCAGTCACACCAGTTACTATTCTCTTTCTGTGGCTCACCGTGAAGACCATTCCCCAATTTGTATGGGAAGCATCACAAAACACCCATATTGACTGGATAAATACCACAAAATTCCTTAATGTGGGTGGAACATACCTTAAATAACTCCCTCATCTGGGCCATCACAAAAATCTGATTCAATCAAAGGAATTAAACCACTGCGCCAGTGACGGTAGACAATCTGGAAGCATATTTTGCTTTTGTTTTAGCAAAATCAAAGAGCTCATTAGAAAGACATAGAACAACAAAGACTTTAGAGTTTGGAGATTAACTGTGTAACTGTGCTACAATAACAGAAAAGGTTGATGAAAAAAAAAGATGATGTTAAAATATGCAGTGTGTGTATGTGTGTGACAGGGGCCATGAAACAGTTAACAGACTCACAAAACTGGAGACCACAGAACCAAGTTGAAAAGGGAACCTGGCCAAGAAGAGGGGGAGGGAGGTGGTGGAGAGAGGGGGAGACAGGTACAAAGCAGAGGAGGAGGAGGAGTGGGTGGTGGTCTTCTCATGCTCTGTCAGCAGGGAAAAAAGGCGAAAGGGTGGAAGAAGCAGTGAATGAGCAGATTGTTGCCTCGCATTGGAGTTGTAGAGTCCAGAGGGCTCCTGGGACGATGTTAACATCAATCACAACTGTGAGGCAACATGTGTGTATGTGTGTGTGGATGACTGGGTTAATGTGTATGAGAGGGCGTGAGTTACTTGAATCTGGTGATGTTGAACAAGTGAGTGCTCACACATATACACAAGCTTCTGCACAGACACTCCCTTCACAAAAGACACGTACACACACTGGCATGCCGGGACCTAAGCTGACTGGACACACTGGTGAGCCTCTTTTCTGGGAATGAACCAGTGTCTGTGATTAATGTGTTGCTAATCAGACACAAAAGTTACGAATATACTATTTAATATAACACGTAAAAGGTCAGAGAGTGCTGAAACACACACTGTCAGGGATAGATTTCATTTCAAGTACAGGCAGATACGACCTTGGAAGTCAGCAGGGCCCAAGGCGTGCTCACACACATAAGTGGAGAGCAGGGCAACTGTGCATGTAAATGTATGACTGTGTGTGTGTGTGGCTAAATCCTTCAACAAATACACTGAGAACAAGGAAATAAGCCTGTACCACATGGGCCGAAGTGATCAATCTGCGATCAATTTGATTAACAGCAGCTTGGGATGGAACAATAAACCGAGGTCAAAAAGGGAAAAACGCCTCTCATGGGGGATAAGATGAACGTCAACACACTGTATCGAGTAACGGGTCAAAGGGAAGAGCAGGTTGCGGGAAGTGATGAAAAGGACCAAATGAAAACATCTCAGAAACTCTGTGCTTTTTCTGCGAATACAGGATTAAGAGTAGCCAAAGGGAGAGATTTAGCACATTCATCCAGAAAAAAATAGCAAGTGCAAAAGGACGGATTATCAGTATATATACAGGAATGAGCACGTCGTTCCACAGCAGGGAAACAACAAAACGCCTTTCCATCTGGGACATTGACTTCATTCTCATTTTCATTGAAAGGCTTTGTCGCTCTAATTATGGTCTTTCTGAGAACAGTAAATGCTGTAGTTTGAACCACAGGGGACATCAGGAGGGAAACGTGTAAGCTTGTGGGAGAATATCTGAATATCTGAGTGTTTGCAACAAAAGCCATGTGTTTACACACCCGAAAGAGTTTGAGCCCAACACTGATTGATTTAGATGGCGTCGGTTGGTGTGATTGAGTGTCCTGGTTTGTGATTGAGTGATTGTCTGCCAGGAGTCTCTGTTTGTGCTTGCCTGCCTCCAGTGTGTGAGTGGGTGTGTGTTGTGTGGGTGCATGTACAAGTTCATTTGTGGTGTGTAAACTTAACCCTTCACGTACCCCGAGTCATTTCACCCCAGCCATCATCAACCATAATTCTAATTGACCCCCACTTACTCTGAATGGCCCCTAACCCCGACAATTTGAGCTCCAATTTCTCCCTCCCTGAGCAATCCATCTCTCTCCCACAGCGTGACCTACTGGGCAGGCCTCAAGTTACCTCCTCTGTCTCTGTCATACACCATTATTACTCGTCTTACCACCTGAAATATGAACACCCTTATGTCTCCCTGACAGCCACCTAAACCCCATGTGATATCTCTTGATTTAGGAGATAACGCAACCTCCCACTCCACACAGAGGTTAGGAGCCTCTGTCAGATGGGGGATATTGCAATAGATATTTCAGCACGTTAGACGTGAGTCAGATCTGTAAAAAACCAACACAAAAAATATAACCCTTGCCAAGGAAAACAGGATTTCATCTCATGAATGAAGACACAACAACCTCCACATAACAGAGAACACAAATTCTCTTTTAACACTGATTAACTACACTGTTAAAATTTGCTGCGATCTTTCAAAGAAATAAACTGTGGAAAAGAGACTTTGGAGTGCAAATTAGAAGATGTATTTTCAGTATTGTTCATAGATCATGTCCTAAAAAGAAAAAATGGGCTTCAAAATGAACTTAAACCTTGCATTTATTTGTCCATGAAACCCCCACAATCCCCCATTAACAAGGAGCTATCCTTCCTCAGAAGTATGAGCTGTGTAACTACCCCACTGTCAGTTGACAAAGATACATAAATGACATAACCTGATGTAACTAATCCCGCAGCACAGGTACACAGATTGCGAAACGGATTAAATCTGAACAGACAAAGTATCACAGGTAAACAGCACTATAATAACAGGTTCGAGCGCATAGAGGGAGAGAGGGAGGGAGGGAGAGTGGGGGGAGGGAGTAAGACTCCCAACTGTCTTGCATTATCATGACAACAGCAGCGAGTCGCCTCCATCACAAATTCATCACAACCAGCTCGCTGAATATGCATGAAGTTGCAACTATTCAAATGCATCTGAATATGGATCATAATAAGATCTATCTGCACTGATCATTAATGTGCAACAATCTCGTTTTATGCATTTATAGTTTTTTTTTTTTTTTTAAAGTGTGTGCAATGGTGGCTTTAATACCACTTCAATTAACATGGGGGTGAAAAAACAAATTGCAACATATATTTACTTTGGGTTCGTGCTGTTCCAGTAGACGCTGTGCCGCTCCGCTGAAGCAAACCAGGCGCAGACGCTCACAACGAAGCCCACAATCCAAACCAAATCCATGGTGGAGAGGAGTGGAGGCGTGCAGAGTGGAAACACAACTCAGGTAAGTTGTGCAACAAAAAAAACAACAAAAGTTTTAGCGAGAAGAGTTTGTCCGCGCACCTGGAGACGCTTACAAAAACACTTTACGCATGCAGCGACTTTAAAAAGCAAAACGCAAGTAGGTTCGTTCAGGAAATATAAAACTGCAGCGAGATCAGGGTAACTCAACAAATCCGTAGTGAATGAACACTCGAGCTGCGTGGTGGCTGGTTTTGTGAAACGCCCACAGCCGAGAGCCCCGCCCCCTGCCCCAGAGTAGACCAATCAGAGGGCGGTCCGAGAGACGCGAGCTCCGCAGGTTTCTCTGTGTATACTGTTGTAATGTTTACTTGTTGTACACATAATTACAGCTCCAGCATGTACAGTATGTCCGGATAAAGCTAAAACACAACATGTAAATATTTTGTTTCTGGAATTTCTATGTCATATTTTTGTGTTTGTAATATAATATGCACAGACACTTGTTGAATGTGTGTTTACAGTGACCTTATACCTTATACTTCACAGTATTTTTTAATGGAAAAACATGTAACCTTTGTAGATTTTATGATATAAGTACATCTTTTATAGTATCCTTTACTTTTAAAACCTTTTATTATATTTCTAGAAGGCTAAGCAGATCACGCTTTGAGAATATGTCATTTTATTTTGCAGTAGGTTATAAAGGAGTGTTGTAAAACATGAAATGGCTTACCATTTGTTTATATGATCCTTGCTTGCATATAAAATAATTTTTTGTTGAACCTGAAACATCTTAATTTCCTCGACATTAGACTCCTACAGGAGAGACAAAAACAAAACACTTTGCAAAATTTAATACAAAAACCCCACCAAATATAGCTTGAAATGACCATGAAGTTAATTAAACAGCTCTACACATTGTAAATGAAACCTGAACATTACAAGCTGCAAAATATTATTTTGTTGTTGCATTACCATGTACAGTTGTTCCAGTTATTTTGTCTGGTGTTGAATGTGCTCAAACTGTATCGCTTTTCTCCTGACCCCTTATCTATCATTGAAGTGCACCACCCTTACTTGAGTACCTCTTGGGCAACATTTGTTGTGTTTGCACAATGATTACTAGAACTGAAGTTGATGTTTTTATCTTACAGGTTTTCTATGACTCTTTTGTATGAGGACATCCATTAGTTGCCCCTATTGCTATATCTCACATATAGCTTATATCTTAGATTTATTCTATTCATTTGTAATATTCAAATCCACCACCTTCAAGCCTTTTAAATCATATATGAAATGTAAAGAAAACCTAGATAGTCAAATAATATTCTACCTTCATCTCGAAGCATATAACCTCCATGCTGTCAGATACATTGCAAATCCTGATTCTCATTTTCTGTTCCATTGACATGGATAATCTGGACCACGAGCTGCTTGTTCAGCCTGGTGAGCCATACTGCCAGAGGGGGTTTTCAAGCCTGCTTCTGCTTGACATGGCACTTTATTTGCTGTACCTGCTTAGCAGCATAACAGCTTTCAGAGGTATCACAGCAAGCAACAAAAATGAAAAGTAAGTTAAAAAAAAACTAGAGGGCCAACTATTCCGGATAATAAATTCAACAGAAACAAAGAGTTTGGAAGATTGACTCAACTTCAGGACATAGATAAGATTCTGGGATGTGATCACATAAACTCTGCAGGGATTTGGACCATATTTAATAAAGCAGCGAAGGAATGCAGAGTGCAGGATACACTCCTGATGTAACCAGAATGTAACACTTAATCTGAAAGGCATCCTCTTTCACAGAAACTGTACATGAGGCTCTTTGCAGCCCAGAGATAGAGATTTTATGTTTTTGATTAAATTCATCTCGTATAGGTTGTGTTGGCCACATGAGACAGTACATGAAATTTTAGAAGGCTGTGGCTGTGACAGTAGTACTGACCGCTTCACGAGATAATTAAACTGTCAGGTTCTCCAAGCAGATTAAAGCAACTACTAATATCTATTTGCATCTCTTGTTAACCCAGGTCTGACTCTGCGCTGTGTTGTTCTTATCTTTGAATAATCATCTCTATGAAACTCCCACACTATTTCGTCAAGCGGTTTACATAAAGCCTTTATTTTTTTTATTATTAACTGCAGAAGATCCAGACTCAAGAGGAGTTCTCTGGATATTACAGCAAATATATTCTATGTTCAGTGGCTCTAAGTATTCACAGTTCGTGCAGTCTGCATTTAAAAACTCTGTCCAAAGTGACACACCTTTTTTTCAGATCTCACAGTGAAAATGCGGAAAGGCACATATACATGGTAATTGTGTGCTATTCAGTGTCAAGCAGGTCGTCCGAAATAATGTGTTTTGTATTCATGAAGAGCGCTCATCTCGGTGGATAAATTTTTTAGTCCAATTGTTTTTTCTGGCTCGGTGGGAAGATAAGAGGGTGAGAGGGACTGCCAACATAATTGTCATTTGCATTGCAATCGAAAATTGTTGTGGAAAAAGCTTTCGCCACGCCGCAGACATTTATGTCAAAACTCTATCAGGAGCCAAATGAGTAGACCTTTAATTTCATACCTTCCTGAAATACTGAATGAGTAAATAGAAAGATGAAGTGGAACAAAACTGCAGCTCAGCCCTGATATATATATTTTTTACAGCAAACAGACAGACAGACACACAAACACACGCATAGATCCCTGCAGGCTTGCACATCCACATAGACACAAACATGGACGCACATACACACATAAACACAACCCTATTCACCTCAAATCCTGACAGAATTTGCACTGAGCCTGTTCTGCGGCATGAAAATAAGATATAGGAAAATGATAGGGAAAACTGTTTCATGTAGGCATGGGAACTTGACTGTCCATAATTTGTTTTTTTCAACCATTTCAACCAGAGTAATTAGATGATGTCATAGGATTGCACTTTCTGTGATCCTGAACACATAAATCAAAACATGGAGAAGTTTTTCCATTAAAATCTATAAAAAAAAATGTGCCTATAGAAAATGCTCTACCTTTGCATGGCAACAACCTGCAGTTTTTGTAACCTGCTGTATAATTCTAACTTCAACATGTTCATACCACTGTCTAATATGCTGTGTGTGCTCTTCCAGTGCAGCTTGATGACCTGAGAAGGTTTGGACAGATGTGCAACGGGTTGCCTTATGTCCTCTGCTGGAGCTTGCCACTTTCTTCCTTCCAGCATGACCATTAAAGGAGAAGTGTTCAGTCCCTTCGACCATGAATACAAATAAGAGATTTAATGACAGACTGTCATCATGTTCCCATCCCCAAACAACACCCCACCATCTATTTACATAAGTGAACTGTGCTGGTGTGAACTGAGGAGCAGCCCAGCAGTGCTCGGTCCTCTGTGTGTCTCATTTCATTGGCCTCCATGGTTTGTGTCATCCATTGTTAGTCAATGCAGCTCCTCTGCAGGAGTTGTTCCTGAACCTATGAGCTTTTTCTTTGCAAACAATGGAACTGAAGTGTTTCCTGTAATTAGCATGGCACTGGTTTACCTCTTCTTATGAAACAGAGACTGTGCAAAGACTGCATAACCATCTTTCCCTCAATAGTTTGCTTGTGAAGAACAAGTTTGTCCATAGTCTTGTTATTGCCTGCTCTGGCACAAATGCTGATTTTCCTTCGACTTTCCCGAGGCAATAGAAAGCAAAGTTAATGATTAGGTGGAGCAATTTTAAAGCAAAACAAAGGTAATCAGTGAGTAACCCTAGCGTCACAGCAAAGAGATGAAGTGGTAAGTGCCAGTTCTTAATTAGCTGTGCTTAATTATCAGAGGTAAACAAAGAAGTGGTTGATTATGCGTAGCCGTATCCAATGATCAGTGTGTCGGCTTCAAGATTAGAGGTCAGGTAAGACTATTAGGATGACATATCAGAGAGTGGCCTTGCTGATAGCCAGGCTTAGACATTCAGGGTTGCACACACACTCAGACGCACCCACACACACAGACACACAAAATATGTATGCCTGCATACCCACCATACAAGCCAAACTGAGAGACAAAGAGCAGCTGAGAAGGAGGCGGATGAGGAGGAGGAGGATTGAGGAGAAATGCAAACACAATGTTAGATAACGAGAGCGTAAGACCAAGAATGAAAGCAAAAGTGAGGAGGCGTGCGAGATGAGAGTGAAAAGCTTAAAAAAGATGTATTTAAGAGGGACAATATGCAAAGTGAAAAGATGCAGGCGATATAGAGGAAGGGAGGGATACCATACCATAAGGCAACAATAAACATGTGTTCACCGACAAATGATGGAGGGAAACCTTTGTGCCAGCAATTAGCAAACATGTTACCTTTACTAACCTGTAATTAAGGCTCCATCCCTTAGGCAAATTAAAATTTTAGAGTTGGGATGCATCATTTCCCCTAGACGGTCAAAATCTAGTAAGTAGTGTCTGAGATATTGCAGGTGACTCACAGACAAACAAATGAACAACGCATTGGCCTCTCTTGGGAAATGCAGAGTCATTTTGGAAAAGAACAGAAGGAGTCCGCCTCATCCATCCGTTACAGTTTCAAGCAGTGCAAAAAATTCTACATGTGAGACAGAAATTTACAGGAAGTTTAATAACAGGGAGGAGATATGAAGGAGGGAGGTTTAAAAGAAAGGTGAAGAGACTTAATGTGTAAACATAAATATATTTGAGGCGAAAGTGAGTGCAGAGGAGAAGCGGAAGGAAGGACGGATGCCAAATGAATAAGAGGGGGCCGGTGAGAGAGTGAGAAAGATAGAAATAGACAGGAAACAAACAAGACGGACGAAGGGAGAGCAGAGAGGCACAAGATGTAATAAGATGTTCAGATGAGGCATAACATAAAAACACAAAGACAGAAGAGCAGGATACAGGAGTCAGGCTGAAAAGATGTAACAAAATAATAAAAAGGAAGTGAGGAGAAGTACGGCTGTGATTTAGACAAGCAAAATTAGATTATTACTGTATTTGCTGGAGGAAATTTGGAGCAGAGGGAAGACAAAAAAAGAAAAAAATAGCTGAAAGATCAGAAAGACAGGGTTTGAAAGATGCATAAAAGGTATACTTTTCAAGCATGGTTTTTAAGGAGACAGGGAGAAAGACAGAGATTTACTGAAATAAACATTTGGAGTGGAGGAAAGAGATTTGAGAGAGAAAAAAGATGGAGAGGAGTAAGTAAGTTAAGGTAGGGA